TAGATATATATATATAAGTTCAAAATGAAATGTAAGGAAAGTGTGGAAAACATTACTGAAAAATGAGAAGAAACAAAGGAAATTTTTAATTTTTTTTTAAATAAAAATCCGGGGAGAAAAGATATATTCTCTTCATCAGTTCCCAAGATTATATCTGCAAAGAGGAGTTCTAATATTGAATCAAATCAATATAGCCAAAGCGAAATATCTCAATACAATAGCATGAGGAGAAAGCGAAAGAAAATATTTTTTGAAGCAAAATAGACCACATTAAGTAATAAATATCACGTTAAAAACACAAAAAAAAATTTATATATATTTTTTTAAAGAAAAACTGTTAAAATCTGAAGAAAACATTAAAAACAGCCGAAAAACAAAATAAGGTCTTCAGTTGAAACGAACATTCTAACATTGTATTAATATAGCCTAGGCAAAATATATCTATAAAATAACGTGAGTATTGCCACCTGATAGATAGTACAGTAGTGTGAGTAACAAAGTATTGAGTGGGAGTGCCGCATTAACAAAATTAACCGCTTCTATGGCAATGTTCTAAAAATAGAATATGGACTTTGAGTTAGAATTTAATGAGTAATTAAAGTCTGAATAAAAAGTTTTGTTCCTGCATTTACAATTCACATTTTGAAAAATATTTTGCATTTAGTTTGGTTCCGTTTCTACCATTATTGAACTTTTTATGAATTTAAGAATTTGTAAATTTGATGAATTAAGCATTTGGTTAGTTAATTTTCCTTCCGATTTTATTATTATTTACCTAAAATTCCGCTTCTATAAGACGACTACAATATTTACTATTTTGGAAGGATAATATTACCATCAGTTAAATTTCAATTCAAATTAAAAAAAAAAAAAATTATTTTAAAGTTAAAATATTAGTTTAAAAGCAACTCTTCCATTTTTGGGACTTTAAGAGTTCTATTACGAGTTCTGTGCATTTTAATGGTTATATTTTCAGATATCATATAATTCATTGAGATCAGATATCATCAGATATCATATAATTCACTGAGATCAGATATCATCAGATATCATATAATTCATTGAGATCAGATATCATCAGATATCATATAATTCACTGTGTGCATGTCACTCAATTGCTATTAGGACACTTATTCAGAAACATTAAATTTTCTTGAAAAATGGCATTCATTCATTATCAGTATTTTTCTCTTTTGAAATACAGAGATGTAAGAGATTATGCCTGATAAGGTCATGCTTTTTATAGTGGTGTTATACTTTTACTTGTGCTATTTGACAACAATAGAATTGAAATTTAGCTTAGTATGGAATAGATTCCTGCTATTAATAAATTTCCTGCGTTATTCTAACGATTTATTTTATTTACATATGTTGCTTAGATATGTTATGTTACATATGTTGCATTATTTACATATGTTACATATGTTTTGATGCATATGTTGCTATAGAATGGTTAAATTACAGTTGGCACGGTATATTTTTTTTAATTTGTCTCATTTGTAAATGTTGTTTGCTCTTAGAGAGTGAGATGCAATACAAGATGACTTCTGAAAAACTTTTTCTGATTCAAAAATGAAGATTTAGTGATTTCTCAGTCAAAGCTCAACAAACCAAGAGATTGATAAGAAATTAGTTAATAGTAAAACCTAAATGAAAATATTTTAAAACCAATTGTTCCATTCTATGTCTGCTGCGTAGTGATATAGTTTTTATAAGTAATTTTAGAGCAAATAAAGTAAACAATCCAATTCTGGGAGCAAATGCAGAGGAGTTGAATAAGAAGGTGCATTTGATGAGACAAAAGAAATGAAAAGACTTGAATACACTTTGCAAAAATGTTTTGACATTGAAATTCAAAAGTTTTTTAGCCTTCTAAGAGGACACCATTCTATTCCTCCCGAAAATAAGTGTTAGAACGCAGTTAAAGCGTAACTACTGTTAGTAAAAAAAAGTAACTGCTAAATGCTCAAGTTTCAAAAATGAAACATCGTTAACACACTTTATTTTTTTCACTCATTTTTTCTTTATTTTACAAGATATTTTTCAGTTGGATATTTTTTAGCAGTGAACTTATAAAATTTCATATCATTTAGATTATTCTAAATACGGCAATTAAAAGGTTAAAATTTATTTATGCTTACAATAATTAATTTTTAAGGATTAAATAATAATAAGTAACTGTGAAGAACATTTGGAGACATACAGCTAAGAAATATATTTTAATCAGTACCGGCCTGGTGGCAGAGCGGTTAGCGTGCTTGACTAGATGTTTCTGCCGGCATGGATGTTTCTCTCTCTCTTTGTGCTGTCCTCTGTTGTGTGAGTGTATGGTGTGTGAATGTAGCCCACCCTCTAAACGGGTTTGTGGCAGTGTGGCGTGGGCAATGTTACTCGCCTCCGTGACTTTGGTTCCCAGGTGCCCACAGGGTAACGTGAAATGAGCAACAATTCTGGCATAGTATAGGCAACGATTCAAATTCAGTGCCTGCCATTGGAAAAAAAAATTATTTTAATCAGTGAGTGTATTTTGATTTTTCGATTGATTATATATATATATATATATATATCTGTGTGTGTGCGCGCGTGTGTGTGTGTGTGTGTGTGTGTGTTTATTTTTTCTAAAGATTTATGAATAATACGTATGTTAAACCTAATTAAAAAAAGAAAAACAATAGCCAATTCTTTTGTCAAAAAAATCATGTTCATTTTGGATTTCTCTATTTATTATTTTCATTTAATGTATGAAATTAAAGCAATACAACTTTTTACCGTCTTGGTAACATTTCTTTATTCTAAAAATAATCATTTATTAAAATATATGTAATTAAAAATTAAAATTGGAACGTTCACATTAATCAAAATAAGAGAAATTTTTAAAATATATCTTATTTTATTGATCAGGTGGACATACGATTGACATAGGATCAAACAACGAGAAAGTATTTCCGTCTTAAACAAGAATACACGTTTCGAAAAAAATTGAAAGCTGTTTTCTTACGGCTTAATTCTTTAGATTTATTTTTTTTTTGTGTGTCCCAGAAAATAAAAACTGAAGACAACTAAATTAGTTTTTTTAGTTTAAAAAATTGTCGTTAAGTAAATATTATTTTTTTTCCTTACACCTTTTGGAATGTTTTTATTGAGCAAGAAAAGATAAATTATTATGCAATGTACCTTTCATGAGAAGAACACGGCTCATAAAGTGATCGATTGACTTGAGTTTTCGTTGACATCATCTTTAATGAGCTCTTCCTTCAGTGTTTAGTTTTGAAGATATAAGATTAAAGTGTCGTATATAGAAGTTTTATTGACAAGGCCTCGAGGATAAAAATGTCCGGCAAAATACTCTCATTTTCAATGCCTTTGCGTTAATCCTTTTCCCAATACATTATTTTTTCAAATATTTATTTCAGTTTCTGATCGCAATATTTGGGGTTTCTGACTCTGTATTTATTTATTTGTGAAAAGTAAACAAAAATTATTACCATCATATGTATTTACGAAAAGTCAATAAGGATATAGTTTTTAATGCTGTTTGTACATTTTTAATACTGGAATCCGACGTTTCTCAAATGAAAGAAAAGCATATTTCTGATTCTGTGATATGAATACACAGGATGTATTTCGCAAAAATAAGGACCCGTGATATAAATGTTTTATAAGTATTTTCATGGACAAAGTAATACGGTACTTAAAATACCTTATTTTATCCCTATCATTCCAGTAAAAAATAATTATAATTTCAGTTACAAATTATTCTAAACCAATTCTTAGCCCTGCAAAAAAATTCTCTTAAAAAGCTCCCTTTGCTTTTACAATGTAAATTATATCGAAATATATTTAGAATAACAATTCTCCTAATTATTTTCTTTAAATTCCTTAGCCCTAATACAAATGATCTCTGAGGAATAATAGTCCATAATTTTCTCTCCTCTTCTCCATAACATGATATTATTGAAGTAATAAGTATAGTAATTTTTTTGCCTCAAGTTTTTCCAGTTTTAATGGTACTTAATTTTTTTTTTTATTCCACTAATATCTGCAGCCCTTTCTTATGATTTACATGTTTAAATTCATCAAAATCAGTTTTAGAAGTACATTTATAATAAAAAAGAACTTATGGTTGCACTTATGGTTGTTTTCTCAATACTAAATGAGTTGTTACAATCAATATTGAGGATATTAACTAACGGTAATGATATTTTTTGCAAATATTTCTGATGATCTTAGAGTTACGCGATTAAGAAATAATTTTTTAGCTCTGCTACTAATTATTTCACGGAATATGCATTTGGTTTATGATTTGCACTTTTTTATTATCAATATTATCATCTGTGCTGAGAGCAGAAAAATAGAATATATAATTAAATAAAGAAAATGGAGCAACCTGAATAACTTTTGATCTAATGATTGAATCATTACGTTCACCGATTTAATCTTATTTGTTCAAGGGATTGATCTGGCATATTCTGATTAATAAGTACAGTCGTTATTTTAAGTTACGAAATCAGTCATAAAAACGTTCTTTTTCTTAAGAGACATACTTTTTTGATGTATTCGGATTCCTGATCCTAAAAGTATTGAAGCTCTAAATTAAGGAAATCTGGCCCCTTGTAAGAAAATATGGAAATAGCTTGGTAAGGAT